CAAACAACCATCTAACATTTGGAGTATATAGTCACAACATTACAGCGAAACTGTGTAGCAGATAAATTTACCTTAGTTTAAACCACCAGCTGTTTCACAAGTCAATCAATTCATTAAGTTATTCATTTCAATTGATAAAAATGTCACCTTTGATCGGGCACGCCATTTGATTGAGTAAAACGGTGGAATCTTGAGCATATTGGTAAATTTGTTACACCGCAATCCGTTCACTTAAGAAAACATGTTACATAATTACAGTTCCCTAAGCATTAAGGAGATCCCTCCTCAACACCATAATATCGTCGACATTGCTAAATGCAATGATACAGACATCCCCTTTACGTTACTAATACTTATGATTAATAGTGTCACTATCCCCATTTCTCTTCAGTTTCATCATAGATGTATTAATGGACATAACCCTAACTCACTTCAGAGATGCAGGGATTGATTTGTTACCGTCAGGGAATAATCTAGTTGACTTAGAATATGCAGATGATATAGTCCTTCTAGGCGAAGACGCTGACAAGATGCAGAGTCTTCTGAACACCTTCAGCTGCAATCTGAGAATGTTTGGCATGAGACTGGCTCCCGCCAAATGTGAGATGATGCTGCAGAACTGGGCTACATTGACTCCTAGCTTAGAAACAGGGAGTGAAGTGGTAGAGCACGTTGACCGCTTCACTTATTTGGGAAGTTGCATCAGTCAGTGCCAGTGGGTTGATCTCTGACGAAATCTCAGCACGGATACAGAGGGCTGGTTTCGCAAATGCTAGTTTACGCCATCTCTGGCATAGACGTGATATCCAGCTGGCTGTCGACCAAAAGGCGGGTATATTGCTCAGGAGTCCGCTCCGTCCTCCTTTCTGGCTCTGAGACCTGCCCATTGAGAGTGGAAGACATGAAAAGCCTGGATACCTGTCTTTGATCACAGGTGCCTGTAATCTATCTCCCGTATTAAGTGGTATGATAGGGTAAGCAATACTGAAGTTAGGCGTCGAGTGTTAGGTAAGGAGGGGAAATCAATCGCCGAGGCTGAGAAGCTACATCGAGTGAAATGGTTAGGACATGTGTTACGCATGGCTGGCCATCACCTTCCTCGACAATGGGCACGGCTGGAAAAGAGTTAGCGGCGGTCAAACAAAAACATGGCCTCATCAGTCAATGAAATCCACAACAGTTATTTTAAGCCAGCCACGTAGGAAGGTGTAGACTTCCTGGTTGGTGTCCTCGAGACGGTAAAAACCAATGCAGGTTGGAGACAATTGATGATATGGCTCAAATTCGTTCTCAATGGCGCAGATGCACCCACTCCCTGTGATTTATGATTTCCAATGAAACTATATTGTTCTTCGTTGTTACTATTCCTTTGTCTCATATACCTGTCTACTGTCTCTACTATGCATTTCTTCTACTTTCTTCTCTTGCTTTGTGTGCTACATGGAGGGAGTGTGGCGAATTGAACTGCTGCACATATACGCAAAGTTCTATGCCGAAAAAAGGCAGACAGGATTAATACTGTCAGAGCATCTATTTCAAAAGAGCAAATGAAACACCATTTAAAAGTTCCTCAGTGAAAGCCCACATGTTGTCATAGTTTTATCACCCCCACCCCCGCTCATCGGACAGAGATTTAACTGCCAATCTTGATGTAAGCTACAGTACATTTATGGCGAATAAATAAAGCTGCACACTTAGGCCAAATATGAAAGTCTTCTGTTTCTAGGCAAAGAAAAAGGTAAATTAATACAACACGAATACAATGCTCAAACATTGAAAAACACAAAATACCTGCCCGATGACAAATCAATAAGCAAGAAAATGTAAATCAGCATTTACCCTACTTATATTGACTTGATTAGTAATTATCACCATAATTAGTAATGAAGAATATTTCTGTCTTATGGAGGAAATGTACCAAAGATAATGCATACAATTGCTTAGAAAGTTTTATAGACAGAAGGTTTTGAAGCATTCTTAATTATCTAAACTGTAAAATAATTACTATTAAATCAGAAAAAATAATTTTTTTTAATGCAATTTTGTTATTCGCCGACTAGAAACAATATGAGGAGATAATGATTGTTAAAAATCATACCATAACAAAAAAATAATTATCAAATATGTCACGTATTTTGCTGAAATCTATTTTTAGAGAAAAAGAAATTAAATCAGAGGTCAAAAACAATCAAGTCAGTATTATGCTTAGTGTTTAGTGATATTTGAAAGAAGACTGGAATGGTTGTAAAATGAATATCGTCAGATTTCATGACATTTAAAAGATACTACAGATTAATTTCTAGTAGTAATGATCAGCTTTCATTTACATTTACACTGGTAATATGAAAAGTATACATTAGTATTGTTTACTTAAACTGGCAGTTTATTGAATATTATTTATTGAAACACAAGCTAGGTACATTATGGACCCCCAGAGGTGCACGACATAAAGTCACATAATTTATGCAAGGGCTGGGATACTACCTGGATATCCAGACCAAAGCAGCTGATAATCTTGAAGAACAACCCACCCCAAGCCTTTGACTTGATTGAAGTCTGATCTACAAGTCAGTGGAGAAGTGTCAGGAGCCGCGTTTCCATGGTTTCCGATGACCACATCAGATTCAGACAAAATTCGATCCATTTAGATTATGGAGCTCGTAAGTTTAAAATCAGGGTATTTCAGCTCACCTAGGCACACCAACTGTATGTCCACTAGCAGACGTTCGCATTCACTTTTGTCAGGAATGTCTCCACTGTGTGAATGCACTGAACAGAACTTACATGGCAGGATATATGAAAACGTCGCAACATGGAAGCGTTTTGAAGAAGAAGAAGGCAGTTCATCCACTTTCGGCCGTATCAGACGATTTCATTAGATGATGTTTGTTAGCCGTACCACAGATCACAGAATAAACAGTTTGGAACATTTACTTCTTTTCAGATTAGTTGCAGGTTTTCAGAGTTACATCATAAACGCATCTAATAATTATCATGAGACAGGTTTGTCTGGGAATGTGTATTACAAACAAATGAAAAGACTAGACAGTTTACATTTTCTGACTGGTAGAATGAAGGACTAGCGTAAAATCTAAAACCACAGGTCATAATGAATCATTTACATTGGTATAATAAGGTTTCAACTAGGACTAAAATAATGAAATCAAGAAATACACGTTAGGGGATTGGTGTAGATTAGAAAATACATATAAAGTATTGTACTTGTGAAGTGCAAACTAGCACAAAGATCCACATAACACTATAAACTTGATCGGTCATCATCCGAAACGTCATATATACGATGACCACCACCATGGTGTGAAATTAGTGTACGCGATCTAGCCTTTGACGGAGTTATAGTGATGTAAAGTCCTTAACTTTACCATTGAAGCAAACGGTTATGCATTCAACCTTACTAATAGGATGTATCAACTTAGAAGAATAAAACTAGGGAGATGAGCAGTAGGATTTAGAGACAGATAATGATGGATACCTCTTAGACACTTAAGAAAATTTTAAAAAAGGTCTTTTAATCTAAATTCACAAATACCATTGGTATGACGAATATTGGTAACAAGCTTGGTTGGTATAAACATCAAATCAACCAATCAGAGAATAAATAAAGCAAAACTATCTTATTCTGACCACTCTTAAACAAACTTCAGCCTAATCTGTAATCAAACACAGTATAGCCTATCGATTAACAGTGTTTGCAACAAATCGAACGCACCTTTCCAGCTTTACGATGTGTAGTTATATATATATATATATATATCTTATATTTGTCTAAAAGACAGAGAGACCCGCTTGAGAGATTCCTGCACTACCTTAAGTGCGGTTACCAAACCAAGTGACGCGATACTGCTGTACGTCGTAAAATGTAATTACTTTGATAACTTGTTGATGAGGGAGAATAAGCGGGAGACACAGCTCAGAAATGTGCATCAGTGGCACAGAGGTAGGATGCTCGCTAATCCCGCCTCACGTGGTTCGGGGCCCGATTCCCGGCCTACACAATCCTACAACTCGCTAAGCCAATAATAAGACGGGCAAAGAGGGGAGGCCAGGCATGCAAATAGCAACCCCATCCCGTAGAAATAAACACCACTGCTACCGAAACTTCAAAGCTCTAACTTGAAGCCCTATGCTTCATTGGGACCGTAAAGGAATACAAAAAAATAGCTCAACAATAACTTCCTATTCAAGTGTTGGTTTGCGGGGATTTGATTTGATTGGTTCCAGGATTTCACCATGAGCTGACATCAGTTAGAGAACCATTGGAAAACCAACTGGGAGTAATGGACAGCTGTTTCATCAGCCTAGTTTTTGGAACTCTTCACCAGTACGCACCATCATGTTTCAAACCCACAACCTTCTGGTTACAAAGTGACCTCGTAGACCATTATTCCCCTGGGACTCGATCCAATGGCCCATGAATTCCAACTTCTGCCAGTTCTACTTCCCAAATTCCCTCTGACTTCTGCTATCAAATTATAATGCATAGCAATGTCGTATCCTTTACTATTAGTGACTATACTGCAAATCTGACTAATTGATTTTGAATATCATACTCAGGGATATTAGATAACTAGACAAGGGGGCATCCTGTGCTTGACGTGATTCCACTAACAACTGTTGATCATTGTATCCAATATCAAGTGTATTCCACTTCACAATCTAAATTCTTTCCACCATCATGGCTATTAACGAAAGTAATCATAGACAACCTGATTGTGAAAACATGATTTAAAAACAATATTCTCCATAACTTTTGTATTCATATAAGCCCCCTGATAATGTCTTCTTCGTATTATTGATATCTCATTCAGCTTATGAGCAACTGAAACGTAATCCCATAGTTAACTGAAGTAAACATAATAATACCTTTTATATTATATTAAGAATTTATTTGCTTATACATAAAAAAATGCTGTAGGAAAGAACGTATATCTGATAACATTAGGCGTCTGTCTGATTACACTCTATGTTGACAGAATGCCTTAAATACCAATAACTTGTTCTTTGAATATTTTCATAAGTTGTTCTCCTAAACTTTCACTCTAAAATAAAGTTGAAAACAAAGAAAAACTTTCGCATTACTAACTGAAGTATAAAGTGCTATGCTCAAATATATATATATATATATTCATTTAACAGAATTAATGATGTAAGATTGAAAATTCACACACACACAGTGATTGATTGCAATATTACCGGGTTTTTTTAGTGCAGTGTTTCTCAATGAAGTCATACTGTAACGACAGAAGACAATGACCAGGCAACAGATCGTTTATTGAGAAAATCAAGAGATATTTAAAGATTTTTATGTACATTATTGTCAGCGGAGAAGCAACGTCTTCTTCTGATTGGTTGTTTTCTCGCTAAAGGTTATTCTGTACTGCTTGTGACTGTTTCTCAAAAGGTTAAGCCATATATCTGCGAATCCTATTTGAACACGTTAAGTCTGTTAAGACAGGTTGGTGAGTTCCTCAAGGTTATGCTTTGTTATTGTTTTCCTCATGCCCCCGATTCGAGACGTAGCATGGATATAAATTGCCGTCTACAATTTTGGCTTGCAGTCAGCTCTCACCACAATACAATGAAAAAAACGGTTTTATTTTCAACATGCTTACCTCACTACACAGAATTCTTGGTGTATTTTATTGCAAGCTATTTACTCTTCCCACAGAATCCTCAAGTGAAACAATAATCGACAGTATATTATGTGATGCAAAGTTATTCAACCTGAAGTAAAATCTAATATCCCCTATTATAGTTCATTTCATTTTTCAAGAAATACACAATAGTAGGTTGAAGACTGTTTAAAAATGTGCATGAGTTCATGTGGCTACTATCCAGCGACGTACTTAGATGATTAAAACAATAGAAAACGTAGGAGAGGTTGGTGTATTATCTAGGATGGGAATTTATGTAGCCCAGTGATTTAAGCAGGACGCCGTAAAAACAGAGGGTTTTTTAAGATAAAATTATTAAAACAACTCGACTATGTATAAAAAAAGAAACATTACTCAGTGCAAACGTCATTTTACATTTATTCTACCCTTCGATGAATCACTATTTTACTAAGCAGACATAGGAAATAAGTTGATAAAAGTTGTACAGCTCTTTTCGTTAGATTTCTTAGGCATATTTCGTAAAATTAATTGGCTTACAACTTCACATTTCTATATAATATATTCACAGGGGTAGTAAACCCTAAAAAGCCAACAGTATCCGACCTGTGTAGCCGTTTAAATGCATCAGGATACATGTATCCAGATTTAAGTTCGATTACAATCGTAAGTGTTTGCGTAGCTCGGTATCAAACCGCATACTGCCAGTTGGCCTTCGATATATCCGTCATCCTTCGACTTCACACTAGTAACTAGTGTGATGTGTCTAGTCCTTTCTTTGATACAGACTGAATTCTATCAGTCAGGTTTGCAATGTAGCCACCATTCTAGGTAGATCGCCATCACAGTACATATTGATTTGATGATATTAGAGGGTTGCAGGTAATAGGCAGGAAGTTTTGCACCTGACTGATTGAATACAGTCTGCAGCAAAAAAAGGACTAGACACATCACACTAGTTACTAGTGTCCAACCAAAGTATCCAATAGAGTCCTACAGGAGGTCAATCAAGAGCCCGAATAGATCAGTGGTAACGTCTCCGGCTGCAGTGCTGGATGACACTGGTTCGAATCTCAGAAGGGACGTGAGTTCCCTCAAGGTTGCTGATATGCCTTGCTGACTGCCGAGTGCCATGCCAACTAGTACGAAGCCTAGGTTCGAGGCTTCCTGTTACTGATTGCCGCCAACCATCTAATATCCGTGATCACTAGTCATCAAAACACTTCCTCAGCTTTACTTGTTACAAGAATTTACGCGCTATATCATTTCGGTTGTAGGTTTAGAAACACCAGTTTTTACAATTCATTTCATTGGGTAACATGCCAATTCGTTTAGTATTGACAAGATCAACACTACAGGCGAATCGCTCAAAATCAATTACCAACATAAAATCATATTAAGAGTAATTTATTAAAGGATTTAAGAGGATAATCAATAAAACAATTTTATAATATTTATAATTAATCTTGTACAAATAAATAAAAAGTCAAGCATAAATGTAAAAATGTTGAATTGATAAAACTCTGAAATATTTTAAAAACAACTTGCCTGTAAGCTGTAGGTTACATGGCACACATATTCTTTAGCTTGTACATTAGATGTACGACGTAGAACTGTTTGTCTTTCCTGGGTTTTATCGTCAAACTCATCCAGCATAGGATCACAAATTGATACAATTGTTGAGTCATTGAAATGAATTTGATTATGAAGTAGTTTTGGTGGATCTATGGGTAGTCTACAGAGAAATTTCAAGTTAGGAAGTAAGCATTCACTTATCATGTTACATCAAACTATTTAATGCGATTGTTTTTATACACTAATTACAAACACAGTGTCTCAAAATTATAATTTCATCAGAACAAAGCGTACACCTATAACCTCTATATGTGGTGATGCTCAAAAATAATTCAATAAGCAGTTAACAAAACACATGATATGTCAATATTGATTCATTTCAGATGTGAGCTCATTGAAACTGATAGATGAAAAACTCACTACGATATTATACTACCATACGGATAAGAGACTTGGCGCGTCATAAAGAGCGCCACGAACAAACTACAGACCTTCATCAATAACTGTCTTCGCTCACTACTACTCAAGATCATATGGTCGGCCAGAAAAGATCAGCAACAGAGATCTCTGGCGATGAGCGAACCAACTCAGCAGGAACCGATTGTGCAACAAATAAGCAGGAAGAAATGGAGATCGATTGGCCATACTCCGAGGAAACTATCAAGTAACATCACTAGACAAGCCCTCGAGTGGAACCCGAACGGGAAGCTGCTAGTTGGTCGCCAGTGCGAGGATGACATGGAGGTCATGTGAAGATAAGATGAAAGCATGTGGGCAGAGTTGGAGCCAGCTGAAAACTCTAGCAGAGAACCGAACGCAGTGGAGACGCGCGGCTGAAACCCTATGTTCCTCTGGGAATTAAAGGAAATAATAATATACCTAAATACTTCATCGTATTCCTACTCATATTATTACTAATGAACACTGAATAAAACAAGAACAAAGGTTTGTTCAGAATAGGACGATACCATCGTTTACTTCATCGGCTTCTTATCAGCTGCGTACTGACTAAAAAAATGAAGCTTAAGTAAAGAACAATGTTAACATACTTGAAAGTGTTACATAATGTCAGTTAGCAGAAGTCTCTCCAAGCTTAATAAACAGTCCCCTGAAATTACACTTCTTTTAACTTACCCATAGAAATTTTAAGTTTATACAAGAAAAATAAAGGTTTGAATACCATTGTAAAGGAGTTACGTAATGGAGACAAGAGGTAGATAAGATGATGAGAGAGTAATAAATTGATTAACAATGAGGTGAGTTCAACTCAAACCATAGAAAGAAGAGACAAAAATTAATAACACTATAGTGATGAGGAAGAGGTTAACGCCAAAAATCACGTAGTTGGATAGAAAGTCAGAATAAAGACATCCAGCTACCAGGTCACAGAAAGACTGTCATATCATATCACACTGAGATTTGAAAAGATGAATAATCCTCCTTATTCGATTGCACAGGGTTGAATTGATTGGTCCGCGTCAACAAACGGCTTTTCTGTACAAACACTTCAATACTACCAGTAATGAGATCATCGCTAGGAATATTTAGCACTGACTAAAAGTGGAGCCTGAAAGGTAGGTCTCTATCCCCATATATATATATATATATATATATATATATATATATATATATATATATATATATATATATGTCTGTTTTCGACATAGAACTTTGCGTATATGTGCGGCAGTTCAAGTCGCCACACTCCCTCAATGTAGCACACAAAGCAAGAGAAGAAAGTAGAAGAAATGCATAGTAGAGACAGTAAACAGAGGTGTGAGACAAAAGAATAGCAATAACGAAGAACAATATAGTTTCATTGGAAATTATAAGTCAAACGGAGATTTTGAGCCACATCATCAATTGTCTCCAACCTGCATTGGTTTTTACCGTCCCGAGGACCCCAGCCCAGCCATAAAGGAGAACGGAGCGGACTGATGAGCAGTACACCCGCCCTTTGGTCGATAGGCGGATATCACGTCTACGCCACAGACGACGTAAACTGGCATATGCGAAACTAGCCCTGTGTATCCGTGCTGAGATTTCGTCAGAGATCAACCCGTCGGCGTTGGCTGATGGTACTTCCCAAATAAGTGAAGCGGACAACGTCCTCTACCACTTCACTTCCTATTTTTAAACTAGGCATCGATGTAGTCCAGTCCTGTAACATCATCTTGCATTTGGCGGGAGCGAATTGCATGCCAAACATTCTCAGATTGCAGCTCAAGGTGTTCAGAAGACTCTGCATCTTGTCAGCGTCCTCGCCTAGAAGGACTATATCATCTGCATATTCTAAGTCAACGAGATTATTCCCTGGTAGCAAGTAAATCCCTGCTTCTCTGAAGTGAGTTAGGGTTATGTCCATTAACACATCTATGATGAAGTTGAATAGAAATGGGGATAATGGGCATCCTTGACGGACACCACTAGTCGTCACCAGTTCAGATGACAACTCGCCGTAAGCCCTCACCTGGCTGTATTAGTACGAGTAGAGTCCCTTGATCGGTGCAATTTATTTTCTCGGCATTCCTTTTACAGACAAGCATCTCCAGAGAACTTCTCGATCGACAGAGTCGAATTCTGCCTTTAGGTCAAGGAATATAATGATTGTCGGGCGACGGTAGGAATGCCTATGTTCTAGAATCTGTCGGAGGGTGAAGATATATATATATATATACATATGGGGAGGGAGAGAGAAGGAGTACTCCGTATCTTATTAGCATGATTTCTTCAATAAAACTCGATCATAATTTAAATCGTTAAAAAAAACATTTTTATGCAATCAGAGTAAAAACAAAAAGTCTGGTAGACTGGAATTTATTCGCTTTAATATAATGAGCACATCTAAATGCACAGGGGTGTATTGAATAAAATTCATTTGTATAATACATATATATTGTAAAAGTAATACATTCTGTAGTGTAATCAACATACAACACACAGAAACATACGAGTAAAAATCATATGTTTAACCTTATTCAGTAGTTTCAATTATTTTTTTTAAAATAACATCGATACTATTTGAAGTGCATAATAACAAATGATTGGTGCAAGCAATACACTCACCTCATACTGAAAAAAATTATACATATTTAAATTTTGATCACAGATTGATATTAGTTAGAGAACCATTGTTGGGAGTGAGGACAAATATGCTCGCCACCGATGAAAGTGACTGGTGCCAGTGGCGTTAAAATCGTGAATTGGTAAAAGTTAGAATTGATGGACCATTGAATTGGGCCTTAGTGGCTGAATGGTCTACGAACTTTCCTTGTAGCTGGAAGGCCCTAGGTTCGAATCCCAGTGGGTGCATACTGCCAATGATTCCCCAACTATGATAAAACAGCTGTCCAGTACGTCATGCTGGTTTTCAATGGTTCTCTAGCTGATATCAATCTGTGATCAACTTGTAAAAAAAATAACTGAGTTTCCCAAGTCAGATGGTATTTATATACTAATCAACATAAGTTACTGTAGTGTGATGATAGAAAATAAAATAAAACTTGGGTTATGATAGAAGTTAAAATAGAGGCATCAGGATTACTAGCGCAACGATCTATGAACTTGTGGTGGGGTGATACAGGTAATGTGCTCCAACGGTATAGTATTCTCACATATTCCCACAGTTCAATGATGCATTAGCACCAGAATACTCTATATGTATTTGAACATTCTATATCATATCGTCCTGTGGAAAACAACCACACGCTCAGCGATTGGTTAAAGAATATAAGCCATATATATATATATATATATATATATATATATATATATATATATATATATATATATATCAGGTGTGCGTCGGCAGAGGATCGCACCCCGTACCACGTGCATGGTCGGCGGGAGTCCTAACCGCTATGCCATCAAAGCATATGTAGTATTACAAAACACTTCCAATATAGTACTAGAATTCGACGAAACTATAAAGATGGCAGAGGTTCCATTCTTTAAAAATGTTATTTAATATAATTGAACAATCTTATCGAAAATGAAGTAACCCTTTGTTATTAGTATTAAAACAACACCAGCTTGGTAAATTGTGGGCACCAAGAGATATGCAACAAAAAAACGTATAACTTGTGAGAGGGCGGAAACAATGTCCAGTTGCTCAAACCAAAACAGGTGGTTGTCCTCAGGGACTGTCGCAGAGCCTTTAACTTGAAGCCTGATATACAAGACAGTGGAAAAGCGTCAGAGCTACATACCAATGGTTTCCAGTGACCAAAAGAGGTTCATACAGCATTTGATCTGCTCGGATTCTGGAACTTATCACAATGTATACCACAGGTTTGAAGTCATGATTTCCTAGCTCCCCTCCTAGGTACATGTCCACATCCACCAGTTCGATTGTAGGCATGAGATATTCTTACTCACCCTTTCATTTATGTGAGGAACAATCCCTGCCACGTGAAGGCATGTTATTACTAAACAACGGGTTAAGATTGCTTCATTATCTCCCTTGAAAAAGAAACTGATAGGATCCCACATATTTTGGTATTGACTGTTTAAACTTGCATTTATGGTATGTTATCATTCTCACACATTTTGGTATTGACTGCTAATTTTGTATATTATCATTCTCACGCATTTTGGTAGTGACTGCTAATTTTGTATATATGGTATATTACCATTCCCACACATTTTGTTACTGACTGTCAATGTCGCACATATGGCATATTATCATTTCTCACACACTTTGGTATTGGCTATTAAGGTCAATTATTTCAAATGCTGTTAGCTGTCCATATTGTTGTAAAATGTATAAATACCATGGCTTTCTTTATCGTTGTTGCACTTCAATACACAGTCACAGTCCAGCCTTTGTCTTTTGATATTTGCGTGCTTTACTAAGTCGGAAGGTACGACGAGCAGATAGACAGATTAGTTCAGGCGCAGACAGAATAAGGGGAAAACGTCTTCATTCAATCCCCTACAGTTATAACAAATTGGCGACGGGGTTTTATCTTAATTCAGTGCAGTTATAACAAATTGGCGACGGGGATTTACTTTAATTCAGTGCAGTTATAACAGAAACATAATCTCTTTCGTGTATTCAAAAGAGTTATTTATCTATTTCACTTATCTCCGTGTATGACCACAGATAGATTTATATATGCTTAGTAAACGATGTTACTAAAAGTGTAACAACAGAAGGCAAGACAAGGAAGCCAAGGTATACCTTTCATGTTATGAAAGTCAAACCGATGTTTATATATTTACAGTTAATGTTCTTTAAATAATCACTGACTGAGCTTTTGATTTCAATTAACATTAAACGACATGAAATAGAATGTTCAAATATACATAGTATTCTTTTGCTAACGCAGTATTGAACTGTGCGAAACGTCTTCTGTCTCTAACCGCAAAAATAATGTTCAAATAGATAGATCGTATTCTCAAGTATTGGTTCTGTAGGGATTTTGTTTGATTGTATGGAGGATTTCACCATGAGCTGACATCAGTTAGAGAACCACTGGAAAACCTGGGAGTATTCTGTTGCTAATACCGTATTGAACTGTGGGAATATGTGACAATCATATTCCGTTGGCGTACATTGTCTGTACCACATCATCACAAAAGGAGTTATCTTCTGTCTTTTTGTCTAGTGACATAGTAAGGATATATACATTAGCATCATCCCCATGCATATACGATTGGAATGCAGAAGTATTCTAATATGGATATAAAGTGTTATTTATTTTCAGCGTATAGTGCAACTAGAAGATATCTTCCCGTTTCACTACGTACAATATAAATGCCAGCCAACCTTGACTATAAATCTAGTGCAAAATGTAGATGGTGCGTGTCGCCCATATTTACACGTCTGAAGTCGGTCAGGAGTAGAATAGCTTACCGATAAAGTTTGTCAATTCAACCATGAATGGAATATCAATATGCAGAAGGTCTTGGCTAATGTCTCGATTATCAGTGCAAGAAGTAGGGAAACGGATTTAAAATTTCTTGACGAGTGTCCTCTAATATCTAATACCAGACTATAGTAGACAAGTGATGTGCTTAAGTGATGCAATCTCTTATTTATTCACAATAAGTAAATATAAGCTAATATGAGGTTTTCGATTATGCAACGCATTCATGGAATTATATAAAGTTTTATCTAGCTTGGATATCCCTCCAGAAGAAACCACACATAATTCTGACCTTTAGTTTGCAAAAACTGAGAAAACAATCTTTCTCAACTTCACAATGACATTATTATAAGTAAAGAAAATAAATAAACAAGCAAGCTAAGAATGATGTATGTCATAGAACAATGCAAATATATCATAATTGACGTTTCTTGGCGTTTAGTTAGAGACCTGGAAACGGTCAGTTTGACTTCAAAATCACTGATTTTCGGTTTTTCACTGCTTCACACCACGATTATAATTCAGTAACTTTAAGTGTATCTACATACAGACAAGACGACTAAATACGGGATGATCCTGAGCAAAATCACATTAATTCAAGTTGTTACACTTCGCACCATTAAACAAATGGAAGATACCATTTTATGAAATGAATGAAACTAGCACTTAGGCAGATTATCTGAACCAACTCAGTTCACTAAGATTTAGCATTTAACTAAGTTGTTCATTTCCGACGACGAGGATGTTTAGGCATCTCTCTTCATTAATAGTTTGTGCGTAAGTTCCTCTCACATTAAAACCACTGACACATGAGTAGAATAACTTTCTATCTTAAGTATAGATCAATGTCATTCGCCGTCAATTATCCCAGAGGGTAATTAACCAACAGCATTGTCTGCTAAAGTTGAACACTAATCCTCTTTCTTACTTAGAACTCACAAAAATATTTTAACATAGTACATTTACACTAGACAGAAGCTTACTTTGAACACAGTTTGATGAATTTATCCAGAATAGTGTTAAGATTCGACGACGAGGTGAATATATGCGTTGAGGTGAATCGCATCACATGCTCTTTTAAATTAAATGAAGCCAAAACAGAAGCTCGATCAAGAAGTTTAGGAGTCTCCTAAAATTATACACGGAGAAAGTCATGCTAATCAATACTAGAAATTGTCAGTGGTTGAAGTAACGGCCTGACAAGAAAGGAAGATAAGTCACTTAAAGTAAATAACACGATATGTATATATACATATATATATATATATATATATATATATATATATATATAATCTTAACGGACTCTTGCAACGTACCAACCAAGACCTATAGCCGAAGGAAACGGAAATACAATAGACACGCACTAAGAAGACAGTTGGAGTGACATCACGCTCTAGGCCCTCAAGTGAAACTCGAATGGGGGACGATGAGTTGAGCTTGGGTTCAGGGATGATATGGAGGAAGTTGTATGCGGAGGAGATGAGAGGATATGGGTAATCGTCAAGCCAGCTAAAGAGGACTGCAAAAAACGGGATGAAATGGATGGACACTGATAGTCAAAAATAATAAAAGAAAATTATGAGATGTGTATTGCATGAAATTTCTATTCTTTGTGTTTGCACGACTACAACTGTTTTGCAAGCCATATTACTTCAATTCTCGACAATATTTATCGAAGAAAGATAGCATATATGCCTATATACACCTTCAAACGATAGTGACAAATTCCACATACTGATGTAGCATCCACCTCATGTTTACGTTAAGCAGGATGAGCAGTTGAAAGTGATAATAAAAATGCCTATCATGCATGACCTCAATCAACTAAATTGTAGGAAATTTCCAGTTACCCAAATGAGTGAAGCGGTGAACCCACTCAACTGCTTCACTTCCCTTATCTTCAAACCAGCGGTCGGTGCAGACTAATCCTACATTATCATCGTATATTTGACAGGGGTGAACCCCATGTCAAGCATTGGAAGACTTATACTCCAGGTGTTCGGATGACTGTGTATTTCGTCAGAGCCTTCGCCAAGAAGGACGATATCATCTGCGTATTCTAAGTCAACAAAGCTGTACCCTAGTAACAATTCAAACCCTAGGTCGTTAAATTCCATTAGAGTCATATCCATTAGTACATCTTTGAAGAAATTAAACGAAAATCGGCGTAATGGGTATCCCTAACGAACAACAGTATTGTCATCACTTTGCATGGCGACTCTCCGTAAGCCCTAATATGGCTTAGTGAGTTCGAGTAGAGTTCCTTTATTACTGTGATATACTTTCTCATTCCTCCCTTCACAGATGGACATTACCACAGCACCTTTCGACCGACAGTCATATTTCGCCTTAAGGTCAGGAAATATGGCAAGTGTTGGACACCAACATTCTGGAAGCTGCTGAGGGCTAAAGACATGATCAGTACACTCTCTAACTGGCCTAAAACCTACCTAGCTTCTCTGGGTCTACTTCTCCTCTGATGGATTTTCATGAGTATTAAAAATAGTTAACCAATTAAAAATGTGAACATTTCTGGAAAAAACTTTAACACAAACAAACAGGTTTATTTAATGTTTTACAGTACCCAGTATTTTTTTCACCATAGTGAAGCATTCCTCTCCATTTTATATCATATGAATCTTGTTGCATTCTACAGACTAATATTTATAGTAATTAAACTAAGGAAAAAGTATTTCTATTGGATTCATCTAGCAGTAGCATTCGCATACCACTGAGTACAGATCATAGCCACTCCTCTAGATGTTCTGTAGTACAACCCGATATATCATCCCTTAAAGTTTGACTAGTATGACTGTTGGACGAAAATGAATTTAACACTTCATAAATTGGTTGAACAAGGATGATAAAATTAACGATTATTATGAAAAGTATAGTATGATAAGTTAAATAATTTTTGTGAACAATTTAAGCTACTTATTAGTAGCTAAAACAATTATAGAAATTAGTAGGCTGAAGCGTCGAGTACTGCGGTAAAATAGATTTTCAAAAACGGTTGAATTTAATGTATACTGAAGTACTTTCATGAAAATGAAATACAAATCACTGTGATATACATACCCTAATTAAATCGCCTTTGACTGTGCCGAAATTTATACACAACTGTACCCATGAGAGATTAAATGAAGAGTTGTTATTCATTCTTCTAGGAACTTCGAGAAGAATCTCTTTCTGAGAACAACCAAATATCTGCTTTGTGTAGCTACTAACCACCTTGTGAACGCAGATGTAAGTCATTAATACTTTTAAATCTCTCAAAATGTCGAATCTAATATGTCAGAGTTAATTCGGTTTAAAGAAGTCATTGCCAAAATATGTTTCCAATAATATCGATGTGTACTAAGAGAGTGTGTCATCAACCATTCAATCTCATGCCACTAATACTGTGATTTCGTTTAACTTCAGTTGAATAATCTCTTATATGACACACCAGTATTAGTTTTCAACCTTACTGACCTAGATACTGTCATGTTACGAAGTCTCAGGAATAAGTATTCGTTGTTCTTTTGTGGCATTTCTTACCAAACTTCTATCATTGCAACTTTCGAGCTTAAAACTTATAACAATTTTGAGCTGCTTTTGTGAGATTTTACACCTTATTATTCCATATTCCCAAATTTATTATTATTATTTCTTATTCCTTTGCGTTCCCAGTGGAACATAGGGCTTCAAGCTAGAGCTTTGAACTTACGGTAGCAATGGTGGTTAGTTTTACGAGTTGGGATTGCTGGTCTCACGCCCAAACTTCCTATTTTGCCTGTCTTACTACCAACTACAAGAGGTTTGGGAGTCCATCGGCCCCGGATCAAACCCCAGGTGACCCAAGTGGCTGACGAGTTTTCTATCTCTGCACCACTGACGAACATTCCCAAGTTCATAGTACCTTCTTACCTATGTCTTCAGCGTTTAAAGCTAAAGGAAGTTATTTTATGCTTTTCACAGTTTAGAAATTCTGTGCAATAGAATGACGACGCTGTTTTGTGATAAAAGTTTGGTTTATTGCGCTTCGCTTGAATTTATCAACACAACTCAAAATATAAAGAAACTTTTCATTATCTTATTTACAATCTATCAAAAGTTTGTCATAAACACTTTTCACCACCAAAATAGGCAGTCTTCAAGACGATTCTATACAATGTTTAGAAACACTTCATTGGATATAACTTTTAAAGCAGTTAACTTACGCCAGGTTCTATTTGAATTCCACCTTGGACAGAACGGACACGCTTAATAAGTGGTTCATTAGGGTCATCTGAATCTATGAAATGTAAAAAGTTGGATTGAAAACATTATTCGTATTTAGTGGGAGTGTTCTCAATACAATATTAATTTATCTAGAGATAAACTTCTGTCCCCCTAATTTCCCATTATTCATCCCTTCTAGACTACACCTTACATTACGTAATACTCCAGTTCTCCTTATATTTTTAATATGAATAGTGAAGGACAACAGGTGTAATGTCATTATGTAATAGCTTACGGTAAGATTGACTGAGGAATTCTCTGGAGGTTTCTACGATGAATTGTGGTTCTGTCTCTATGTGAACTATTTCTCCATTTGCAGGCTTTGAACAAGGTAACCCAAATTCTTGTTCAATTTTCAACTTCAAAAAGTCCATTTTATTGGCCTCCCCATGTACCAACATTACGTGTTTTGGTTGGCAATGAGAGATTAACTGCATAATACCACGGGCATCTGCATGGGCTGAAAACGATAAGTATTCAACACACATTTTGACCTCTAGGACTTGCTTGTCAAATTCAAGGCGTTTCACTCCATTTAAAATCTGAAGGTAGAAAAATAACAGTGACCATAATATTAATATCACCTAAAATGTAATTTGAACATTCATTTAACCTTAAGCATGGTTCATTTCTTTATGAAGCGTAAATCAATTTATCATCCCCGATAATGAAACTTTATTAAGTAAACATATATGACCAAAACATATTAAGTATTCGCCATCGTTATTTGATTTGAAAGCCGTCGAAGCAATAGTAATCGTGCGAAGACAGTAAAATATTCAAACAATCTGATCACTGTTGTGGATAAAATTTATTTTGATAAAGTCTCACAGTGTTACACAGTAATATTTACTGATGACGTTTCGTGCACAATTTACTGCTCAAAATCATATAAATAGGCAATCGATCAAATCGCAACACTACGGAACATCACCGGACAAAGCTGGGAATGGCAATCAGCTCTCTACCTCACTCAACTTCAGTGACTTTGAAAAGGCCTTCGACAGCGTCGATCGAGAGGTGATTTCGAAACTATTTTGCTACTACGGGGTACCATCAACAATTATACACCTCATCCAACACTTGTACAACAATGTTGTATGCCAAGTAATCCACAACGGGAAACTCACGGAATCCTTAGAAGTGAAGACGGGAGTAAGACAAGGCTGGCTGGTTGCCTACTATCTCCAATGATTTTCCAGATTGTGGGCGGTAGACTGGATGAAGTGACAGACAGCGGCGGGCAGCGAAGAAACAGGCATAAATTGCACCTACACAAAACACTTGGAAGATATGGACTTCGCCGATGATATAAGTCTGATTTCCCACAAACTGGAAGACATGCAAGTGAAAAACAAAAAGTTGGCAGAATAAGTATCCAGAGAAGATAGGCCTTCAGATGAGCATAGAGAAAATGGAGGTAGGTGATGAAGATTCCTGGTCAACAGTAACAGCAACAACAACAGACAACAATCAGCATAAATGGAAGAAATCCGAAAGAAGCAACGTCCTTCACCTAACTCCCCGGGAAGCATCGTTTCAACTACAGGCGGAACTGACGAGGATATCAAAGAGAGGATCGGGAAAGTAAGGCAAACTTTCATTTCTCTTAAGTCTGTATGGACGTCAAGTCAACAGCACTCAGCATGGAAAATAACATCCGGATTTCCAACTCCAATGTGAAGTCAGTGCTACTTTGTGGTCATGAAGAGCGCCTAAAACAAACTACAGACCTTCATCAACAGCTGTCTTCACTCAATCATTAAGATCAGATGGCCGGCCAGAAAAGATCAGCAACAGGGATCTCTGGCGATGACCGAACCATCTCAGCAGGAACTGACTGTGCAACAAATATGCAGGAAGAGATGGAGGTAGGCTGGTCATACTCTGAAAAAAACCATCAAGTGACATCATACAACAGGCCACCACTCGAGTGGAACTCGAACGGGAAGCAGCGAGTTGGTCGTCGGAGGGTGACATGGAGGAAGTCATGTGAAGAGATGAAAGTATGTAGGCAGACGTGGACCCAGGTGAAAACGTTAGCGAAGAACTGAAAGCAATGCGGACGTTCGGCTGAAGTTCTATGTTCCTCTAGGAACTAAAGGAAATAATAATAATAATTTTGTGAGACTTTATCAAAATAAATTTTACCCACAATGGAATTATACTCTACCATAGTGCACAAGTACTACCCGTAAATCTAATCACTGCTTGAGGGAGTTTGGGTATTTAATATTCATTTTTATGCTGTTCTAACCTGGGGTCAACTTTTAATAAACCAGTGGATGTTTCCTTTGGTTGGACACTAGTAACTAGCATGATGTGTCTATTCCTTTGTTTGGTGCAGACTGAATTCCATCAGTAAATCGCGAGCCCGAATAGCTCAGTGGTAACGTCTCTGACTGCAGTACTGGGTGACGCGGGTTAGAATCTCAGAAGGGACATGAGTCCCTTCAATGTTGCAGATACGCCTTGCTGACTGATGAGTGGCAACCACCACGAAACCTAGTTTAGGCAAGGCTTCCTATGGTCGAATGCCTCCAACCATCTAATATCAACAATGGATATTTCCTTTCTAAAAAATATTACAATGCCTATTAGAGTGTAATGGTGAAATATATTAGCTTTATTTGACAGTAACAAGAAGCTTCTTCATCCATTTACGTACGCAAATATCTAAAGGAAAAAAGCTATTTCATGATAATGTATCAGAAACCAGTAGTTTTGGAGTTGTTCAATCTTTCCGAGGAAATATTGGTGCAACAATGATTACGTGGTGAAACCTTGGATGACTGAAGAGAGTAACCACATTTGTGATTCAAACTAAGCTAGATAATTACTATGCAGATTTTTGAAATGATTACCATAGCAAGGAAAATATGAGATTGGTTTCCTAACAGGTAATCACGCTTACGTAATCAGTTTTGAAAGACAAGTAAGCTTGAAACGCATGTAAATGAATATAAGAGAGAGTCAGCGCATTAATTTAAATCCTTCAACTCAGCAATCTGCCAACATTGACAAACTTTGTACACACGTTAACTTTGACAGGGTATTGCTATAATCGAAGATCCATATTTATTTATTGATTGATTACAGCTTGATTCCACACTGTATTTTTGGTACAAGTATGGAATTTTCAGCATGGATATCGGTAGTCCAAATTTTCCAGGCCGACCATAGATATCAAGTGTGCGTCTGCAGGGGATCGAACCACGGACCATGTAAAAAATTGTAAATATGGCACCAAGAAGGATGCGCCCCACACAATAATAATAAAACAACATAGATCAAAAGTATAAAAAATATATAAGTAGAAAACGGATAAAGAACTTCATCTGGAAGGAAGACATTCATGCTTAACAAGTTCAAACAGTGTTCGTTCACTATCATCGGGAAGGGAAGAAAGAAGGAAATTGCAACACATTCGCCATTGATTACGATTCTTGGCCATATCCGATAACGTTTCGAGCCATCGATTTGAGCTATCTCACGGACCCCAACCAGGGAGTCGTGACACACCAACCAATGCTAATCTAGCACACAAATCCTTCATCCCACGACGCCACGTCATGGACTGACCACCTCTCCGCCTTTTCCATCCCGTCCCAGGGCTAGCCAGCGAACAGAGACCTCTACGGGAGCCTCTGAGGTGACATTCACAGCACATGTCCAAGCCACCGGAGCCGGTGTTTCCAGATGACGACACTCAATGAATGGTGATCTCCACTGTGTTCAAACACACGCCGCCGAACCTCAGAATCACTCACGCGATGATGCCATCGAACGCAAGCAATCCTGCGGAGACAGCGGTGATCGAACACACAGAGTCGCCGCACATCCTCAGCTCGGAGAGGCCAGGTTTCACAGGTGTAGAGCAGCGCAGCCCGCACCGAAGCATTGTATACCCGACCTTTGACAGCCAGGCTAACTTCGCGACGGCGCCAGAGGTGGCTCAAGTTGATGTATGCCACCCTAGCCTTCATTATACGGTTGGAAATCTCATCCGTCACCCCTCCGCCTGCACCCACACAACTACCCAGGTACACAAACTTATCAACAACTTCAAGTGGTTCACCCGCAAGATTGAGTGCAAGTACAGGCTCCTGCCAATCTTGTAACAGTACTTTGCACTTAGACGGCGCAAAGCACATATCATACAGATACTGAGCGCCAACTGATTAAGTGCGATTTGTTTTGTATTTCTTTATTACTCCTTTGTCTCACACCTCTGCTCACTGTTTCTATTATGCTTTTCTTGTACTTTCTTCTCTTGCTTCGCGTGCTACACGGAATGTGGTGACTTGAACTTCCGCACATTTGTGCAAAGTTCTATGTCGAAAACAGACAGACAGACAAGTGCGATTTGGGCAGTCTGCATGCTATCGCACAGTAAGACGATATCGTCTGCATACTCGAGGTCGAAAAGTCTATCTCCAGGTAGCAGATCTACACCACCTTCACGCACATCCTTCAGAGCTGACTCCAGAATGTCATCCATGGCAAAGTTAAGGAGAAATGGAGAGATTGGGCAACCCTGTCTAACCCCACCGTTGGTTGGGAACAGTGATGATAGTTGGTTGTATGCCCTCACTCTACCCGAGGTGTTTTTGTATAGGGCTCTCAAGATGTTAACAAATTTCTCAGGTACACCTCTCTCTAACAGACAGTTCCAGAGCATGTGCATGGTCGGCGAGAGTTCTAACCACTGAGGTTATTAGGATACTCCATGATAAGTTTGGAAGATTAGTTTAAAAATAATCCCACACTAACAACCCAGTAAATATGCACATACATATAACATAAAGAAGTGCTGTCAGTTACATCAGTGTGAATGTATAAAACCAGTTATTTGTGTACAACCCAATGAATAAGTGACACTCAATGATAGATCATTCAAGGCTGATATGTATAAAAATATGATATATTCTGTACGATGAAAGCAAACAAAGATCAGACATAAAACAAACCTTGTAACCGACTGTCCCAGCAACACAGTATCCTGGAATAATGACCATATTTCGTTCATCTGAAGCCCATTTACGAAATATATGCAAGGATTGGCCAGCGTGAAGCATACCAGGTGTGGCAAAGACCACCATTGGTCCAGGATTGTCAACTGTACCTTGTCCAAGAGGCTATTTAGGAGTTGAAATATATTATACCAGTTACAACGCTATATAAAAACATTTAAAGATTAAATGAATTATAATTGTATTTCAATAGCTTACACACAGTGATAAGTATTTGTTTTTGGTGTGATCACGGGCAGTAACTTTGCTCGAAATATTACCAAAAATAAAAACTTATAATTGTGTGTAAACTATTGGAATATTATTATAATTTATTTGATTTATTCCACAATGCCCAAACTTTTTACTGGCATTAACGCCTAGAAATGTCAAAATATCATCTTAGTTTAATTGCAAAGTTTGGGTCGTTGTAAAGTGATCCGTGAAGGAGTAGGAATCATCACATAGACAAAATGGATTGAAGACTAAGTAGAATTATAACACTGGAATAACGTCCTAATAATATAAACAAGTTACGGTTAATTTGCAAATTAACCATCCAACTCAGAGAACACAACCACATCAAAATCATCCACCTGAGCTACAAATCTTCTCTATCATACAGAAATATTTAAAATGCACCTACCTTGATGTGCTTAAAATCAAACATATTGCGCTTAACGAATGTTTCTTTGATTTTTTGATTAGTCCAAGATATAAATAACTTGTAATATTCATTAGCCTATATAAAAAACAATCAAATTTTTACAACTTGAAGGAACTACTTTTTCAGCCATACCCATAGAAAAGTATATTGGTACAGAAATATTCATCCTTTCCCAATATGATTCAAGTAATATACAAAGTTCTTGGGCTCTGCCTAAAGCAAAAACAGGAATTAACACCTGTCAGTAAAACGAGTGAAGTAACAATTACTTTGCCTCCAGCCTCAACACGAGCATGTATCTTTTCCAAAAACTCCCGTTCCCTTGTACGTTTTGAGTCTCGTATCGTCGTTGCATATGTACTTTCTGTAATGAGAAGATCAGGACGGCAACGGGAAACCCAGGCTGCTCCAAGATGTCTATCAGGTGTCATGTTGTAATCACCCTAAAAGTTTCAGCAATATTTTTAAAAAGTAACTTACGGTGTATAAGACAGATTTTGTTCCTACACGTACAAGAAACATTGCTGCGCCCAAAACGTGACCTGCATAAAATGCTTGTATTTCTAGGTCATCATCCACCTTTAAAACATCGAGTATTTTAAAAATGTGACAATTACTTTAACAGTCTGATGTATGTATACACACTTAACTTTTGTCATACACCGGTATATCATATCAGAAGTGAAAAAGTTCTGTTCTCCTCTACGTTCAACATTGATTTTACGATAATCTTCCTAGTGATGTAAGAATTACACAAGAAAAATACTACCAGAAGTATTGGGCAAATGGCTTTGGTAGGATGAGTCATATAAATTGGACCATCATAACCAATCACTTCAGTCATATATGGCAGTGCACCACAGTGATCGAGGTGAAAATGACTGAAGATAACAGTTTATCGATATATGCAAGCTAGACATACCTGATGATAACGCAATCTAAGTATTCTGTAAGACCCCCTTTGTCGGTGATATAGGTGAAATCAGGAAACCTCCTCTTTAGAGATGGAAAATTCAACGTTCAGAAAAGAAAAAAACTTACATCATCATTGTATCCCATATGCATTCCACAATCAAACATAATATTTTTACCACCTAGCGTAACAAGAATGCAGCTTCTCCCAACATCTTGGCCAGCACCTGTTAAGATAATGATAATACGTTGGATAAATATTCACTTAAGACGGAAAAGGCTAAGAAGCTCAGGAAAGATATCTTTTCGATGACTTTATCCTCAAAAGCTGTACGATCGTATTTTCATACTGCAAAAGCCGTCGCCGTATGCATCGAGAAGCCAGAGCTATCTGTCCAAAACAAACTAGTTCAACCTCAACATTCATCATGCATCTGATTCTGTTTGACTGCGTAGTTGTAATTCTTTCATTCACTCCATTTTTTCCACCTCTGGCTACAAAAACTATTATTCTTATTTGTTTTTATGCTCATTCCTCTATATTAAATAAACAAACACTTTACATGTTACGTAACTATTTTCTAATCCTATATAATTTAGTTTCTGTTCCTTGTTATTTAAATATCATATTAATTTGAAAATAAACCCATTTAACCTCCATCACCACGTTGAATTAAATAAAACCTGTGTGAACTTGTGTATTGACACACAATTATACAACTTCTGAAGATGAAATTTTTACTGAGCTCCTTGTTTGTTTCCCTCTTATGTCCTGATGATTAACTTCCAGAGTCTGAAAATATATCCACTTACCCAATGGAATAACGCGAATAGAACTCATGATGCCACTGTGGTTTTCTTCGCTCAGATATTTACAGAAAGGATTTCAAAAGTTAGAGAAAACGCAGCCATAGAACCTATAAAATAACATTAAAAGAACATTTTAAGAGGGGCAAGTGAACAAAATAACTGGTAGATGAAGAGCAAACCAGTCAGCTTAAAACCTTATCAAATTGTGAATGATTAGCGTACATATGATTATCAAATTACAATAAATGAGTACATACAATTATGATTTCTTGATGCGTGATAATCTGGTACAATAATATTGTGTTTAAGGGGTCAAGTAACGTTTTTTTCCTACTATTTATGGGAAGTTGGAAAATAATAAGAAGCGACATGGAAGTCACCATGAACATGTACTCGAAATTTCATACAAATTTTCCTTTGGTAAACACGAACTTTGTTCATATATACAGTTCACCTGAGTTAGCCAATGAATTTTGGATGGTAAACATCACTGAACTGCAACAGTACTTGTGAACTACCGGTACACCATTTTGATACGAGCATGATACATAAAAAATTAAGTTACTTTTCGAGTATTCCAAGTTTAATAAATTTTGCAAGTCCCACATTTGCTGACTGACATTCTTGATAATATAAATTTAATTGAATGTCACCGCTGTAATTAATTTAATCTGTAGTAAATTAATGGTTCCTAATAAATAGTTGTCATGTATTTAAGCAAGAAAATAGAACAGTTACATAGGAGTCGCAGACGGCAAGCGAAAGCATCATGCAAAACTCATCTGGAAAATGTGTTGGCGACATAATTCAAAAATACAATAAGGTATGCTTCTCTTCTGATAATGTAAAACAAAATTAAGCGCAGCAAAATAGTTTTCACAAAAAAGCATTTAATTCATTTCTAAACAGTTAAATGTAGAATGTCCATACAGTAAAAGTGCAACAGAACCTCTACACGTAGTTGGTTTTCATTTCAAATAAGTTTTGCAGCTAGCACACTTATTGAGGGCATCCAAGTTGTGCCCGAAGTTGTCAGTGTCTGCGGTGCGCAAGAATCTTTCAAAAAAGAATTAGCTCACATGAACTTTTTTAATTGTTTTGTCTCCTTAGTTTACATGTACGAATAACCCCAAAACTTTGAAACTATCAAAGTAAAGGAATTCAGAACACTAGATAGCAACTAATGACGCGTCTAGTGCAATCAAATACCCATTACAGTCCTACACAGTGCCAATCGCGAAACCAAAAGAGGCGAAGTCAAACAATAGCGTCCCAGGAGTACGAACGCTTCAACGGCCTTGAACGCATGATACTCGTTGGCTAACGGCACCTGTCATTATCAAAGCTGAAATATCAACGCTATTCACCAACTTTTTTTTATTTCTTTACGTTCCCAGTGGAACATAGGGCTTCAAACTAGAGGCTTAAAGTTTCTGTAGCAGTGATGATTATTTTTACAGGATGTGGTTGCTTGCCTCATGCCCAACATTCCCTCTTTAACAGTCTTATTGCCGGTTTAGCGAGGAAAAGGAGTTCGTTGGCCGGGGATCGAACCCCGGGCCACTTGCGTGGTCACCAACTAAGAAGCAAACTCCACCCAGATTACGTTTCTAAGCACTATTTGGACAATGTGTAAATATCTCGTTAGGGTTAGGATTAGAGTTAAGTTAGCCATTGGTGTTAGGGTTAGGATTACATCATTATTGGGATTAGGGTTAGTTTTACGGTTGGTGCAAGGGTTGTAATTAGGATTAGGACTAAGGCTAGGGTTACGATTAGAGATAGGTTTTGAGTTGGTGTCATTTATTTTAATTCGTTTTATCATCCATATTTTCCTAATAGGCAGTCGTCGATCCTCTTACTGAAAACCACAGTAATCCAACCAAGAACTTTCGGAGAAGACTGCAGAAAAGGAAAAGAGAGATAAACGATTCACAAAAACAGCTCATCTTCAGTGGCCTCGGTGAATGCATGTACAGAAACTAGTCTAACTTAACACCTGATACTCCTCATTTTAACTGGTGCGTATTTTTAAGTCATTTCAGTGAAAGACACCCTGCTTAATGTATTTTCATGCTTTTTATCTTAAAGATACCTCATTTTTGATGCGAAATTCTTCATTTTTATGATTGGTTGGCTCAAAGTCACTCTTGAGTTTGTATATCTAGGGACGCTATTGTTGAACTTTGTCCCATATGGCACAGTTTTACCGTCACCGGCTGCTACAATGCGTGACCACGTTTTGAATATCAAGCAGGACACGAGACCTTTCAAGATTGTAGATACGCCTTGCTAGTGAGTGCCAGCAAGCACGAAACCCAGGTTCAACTGAAAGTGAGTATTTCTGCTAATGGCCTCCTACCATCTAAAAATAATTCAAAGTGAACCGTGATGGCTAGCCATTTGGTATGGTGGAAACTGAGAAACTGACCGACAGAATTCAGTCTGCACCAAAACGAAGGACTATACGTATGACATTAATTACTAACTAGTGTCCAATCCCAAATAAAAAATTTGGGGGAAGTTTTGGGTTTATTTAAGCTTTTTGAAGAATTTTTGTGGCTCTAAACATGGCATTAAAAAATTTTCAATGAGTTGACGGAATTTATTTGCGGTCATACATGCAGGGCATGTGCTATTTGGATATTGGATATTTAAGAACCTAGGCTTTTCCAGACGTCACAGGTAAGCTACAGAAAACCAGTAGGAAATTCATTATTTCTGTGGCCACTTTACTGAGTTTTCAATTTATGTATGCGATAAACTGGATTTTGAAATAGGAAAGCAGCTAACAAACCCAGTGGCAGCGAAGTGGCTTATATTTTCCGCTTCCAGGTTTGACCTGTACGATCGCATACGCTGAAATTATCCCGCATCCTCAAGGTCACTGGGAAGACTCAGACGCCTGAAGGGCACTTTCGTCTATGTTAGTAGCCCATGTTGGATTGCCGTTACCTAACTGTCCGTAAACACATAGGCTTTTACGTATATTTTTCGGTAATAACGGCGAAGTTCAACAGCAGCGTCCCAGGTATGTGAACAATCCAATGACCTTGAACGCGTGCTAGTCTTTGGCCAACAGTGCCTGTCATTATCAAACCTGAAATATCAGTGATATTCACCAACTAGTAAGCGAATTTCACCCGATTTCGGGCACATTGCAGATAATTTGGAGCAGACTTAGGGGGACTGCAGGCTTAGGAGTGTTGCCCCACATAGGTCTATGTGACCGAAAAATTTTGCCTCGAAAATTTTGCAGTGCCCCTGAAAATAACGCTTGCTGTTTAGGGTCAGAATTAGGATTAGGCCTAAACCTACGGTTAGAATAAGGGTTTTCATTAGGGTTAGGGTCACGAATAAGGTTAAAGCTGCGATTGGGGATGAACTGAGAGTTTAGGTCGTTAATTTTAATATGTTTTGTTATCCACACTTTCCTTTTAAGCAGTCGTCGATTCTCTTAATGGAAGCCACAGTAATTCAACCGAGGGCTTCGGGGAGGACTGCATAGCAGGAAAAGAGAGATAAACGATTCACAAAAACAGCTCATCGTCAGTCACCTCAGTGAATCCATGTACTGGAACTAGTTTTGCAAATATTGTTAAACTTTGCCCTAAAATTATTTAGTTGGTTTATTTCGAAGGTTTCTACTGCCATATCAGCTCATTTATTTCATTGTAATTGTTTCATACGTCGCACTCATGCGTGATTACAAAGTTTTATCCATTTTTCAACTGTTGTTGGAACAGTACTGAGTAGAAGTTTTGGATGTTATGCACATGAACATGTTTTGGTGGCAGAAGCTGTTGTAGCGGTAAATAATTCCCCAAAATTATTGACCACAGCAATCACTCATTGGATGCTGACCACCACTGTTTAAGTCGACTTGTTTAGCTGAAGGCTTCCGGTCAAGCATCCCCGCCATTTGGTACCCCGTCGTGTAACGTGCACGATCACTAGCTAGCTAAGCGTTTGTCTGAAGGCTTGTTTTGGTCCCAAAATATATCTCTTGGTTTGGACGATCAAATATTGGCTTTTGCTTTGTCTTTGGTACGCGAGAATAAATTAATTAGAAGTTGCTGAACGAGATATCCGTCAACCTCTAAACTGGTGAGCCCAACCGCGAACTTCATCCACGATAAATCCGCAGATAACCCCGGTGAGTTCGTTCCATTTTGTATTTGTTCTTGTACCATATATTATTCGACATAATTTTCGTCATGAGTGATCTTAGTCCCAAGGTCATCCGTATCCGCTCAACTCCTAAAACCATTCAGCTCGTACCATACTGGCCAGATAATGCTGAAACGTGGTTTCTGCTAGCTGAAGCAGATTTTTGTGAGCATGGGATAACCGATCAACGTTCACAGTTACTTGCAGTTATTCACGCCCTACCGCGGGAATTCAGCAAGTACGTAACATCACAGATGTTCAGTCCCGAGGTAAGTAACTCGTACGAGTTGCTCAAAGCATCCCTCCTCAGGAGAAACGTTCTCACGGACCGACAACGTCTAGATGAATTATTTCGTAACATCGAGTTAGGAGATCAGTCAGCCGTGAGCATGCTGACAAGAATGAAAGAAGTCGTCGGCCAAAGTCAGTTCGACGAAGGACTGTTTAGAGAACTCTTCTTAACCAAGTTGCCACAGTCTGTACAGACCGTACTTGTGACACTTCAGGGTACTGTAATAGAGGACTTAGCTATTACTGCAGATAGGATTCTAGAGATTACCAAACGGTCTGTTCCCGAAATATGCTCGATGACTAAGCAGACTTCGAGTAAGGATCCTGCAATGATAGAGTTATGCAACTCCCTTCAGCAGATGTTTAGGTCAAACATGCATTCTAAATCCTCCGACCGTCGTCCTAAATCTCCTCAACGCAGGAACTCACGTGGTCGATCTAAGTCCAAACCACGTTCACTGAAAAACCCTGACTGGTGCTGGTACCACAACACCTATGGCCAAGAAGCGAAGTGTTGCCGTAAGCCTTGTAACTTCGGAAATGTCTCAAAGTCTGCGGGAAACTATCCCG